CATCTGAAGTGCATGCACCGGGGCTGATCTGACATCTGAAGTGCGTACACTGGGGCTGATCTGAGGTGCATGAACGTGGATGCATGCATTGGAGCTGATCTGAGGTGTGAAGGGCATGCAGCATTGGGGCTGATTTGAGGTGTGAAATGCATGCATTGGGGCTCAACTGAGGTGTGAAGTGCATGTATTGGCTCTGACCTGAGGTGTGAAGTGCATGCATTGGGGCTGATCTGAGCAGTTAAGTGCATGCGTTGGGGCTGATCTGAGGAGTGAAGTGCGTGCATTTGCTCTGATCTGAGGAGTGAAGTGCGTGCATTTGCTCTGATCTGAGGTGTGAAGTGCATGCCTTTGGGCTCACCTGTGGTCTGACGTGTGTGCATTGGGTCTGACCTGAGGTGTGAAAGGCATGCATTGGAACTGATCTGACATCTGAAGGGCATGCATTGGGGCAGATGTGACATGTGAAGGGCATGCATTGGGGCTGATGTGACATGTGAAGGGCATGCATTGGGGCTGATGTGACATCTGAAGGGCATGCATTGGGGCAGATGTGACATCTGAAGGCCATGCATTGGGGCAGATGTGACATCTGAAGGGCATGCATCGGGGCTGATGTGACATCTGAAGGGCATGCATTGGGGCAGATGTGACATGTGAAGGGCATGCATTGGGGAAGATGTGACATCTGAAGGGCATGCATTGGGGAAGATGTGACATCTGAAGGGCATGCATTGGGGCTGATGTGACATGTGAAGGGCATGCATTGTGGCTGATGTGACATCTGAAGGGCATGCATTGGGGCAGATGTGACACCTGAAGGGCATGCGTTGGGGCAGATGTGACATCTGAAGGGCATGCGTTGGGGCAGATGTGACATCTGAAGGGCATGCGTTGGGGCTGATGTGACACCTGAAGGGCATGCGTTGGGGCTGAGAAGTGAAGGGCATGCATTGGGGCTGAGGTGTGAAGGGCATGCATTGGGGCTATCTGAGGTGTGAAGGGCATGCATTGGGGCTGAGGTGTGAAGGGCATGCATTGGGGCTGAGGTGTGAAGGGCATGCATTGGGGCTGAGGTGTGAAGGGCATGCATTGGGGCTGAGGTGTGAAGGGCATGCATTGGGGCTGAGGTGTGAAGGGCATGCATTGGGGCTGAGGTGTGAAGGGCATGCATTGGGGCTGAGGTGTGAAGGGCATGCATTGGGGCTGAGGTGTGAAGGGCATGCGTTGGGGAGGGTTACCTTGAAACAGCAAGTTCAGCTCATTAATCATTAAATAATATCCATCAAGTTGAACTATTCATTAGCAGTACTTCTATCAGCATAAAAGCAGACTGGCGCATGCGCAGAAACTGAACGCAAACAGACACTCCTCTGCACTGTTGCTCACTGGCGCGGCGGTTGTCTAATTCGTGTGAAAATGGCGCTGAAAATGGACAAGGTTGCTGACCCCGCCATTGGAGCAATGAATACCAGGCAGCAGTGTTTTTATCTCTTCTTGTTTGTTCTGTTTTAGTGTCGTGTTTTGTTACCAGTATAGAAGCCAAAAATGCTCAGAGGAGATCTCGTCTAAAAAGGGGATTTCCAGCTTTAAAACGAGTTGTTTTCAAACACAAACATACCAACGCCACCACTGCTGCGTAATCCGAGGTCTCTGAGCAAACAAAGTCAAGCTAAGTAGACAAAAGAGGAATTTGCAGATCGGGGACTTATTTCTTAAAGTAGAACTCCAGCCAAATTCTTTCCAGTCTTGGACAGAGCAGGTAAGGGCTAAAACCTCTGTCAGGTTTCTAATCATCATCCATGTCTCTGCTGAGATCTCCCACCAACTCCTACCCCATAGACAAGACCGTGGATGAGCATGGCCACGTGAGTGAAAATTCAACCCTTCAAAACTGGTGTCCCCATTGGAAGATTACCCTGTAACCTTGTTCTGGGGACAACCATAACATTTTACATTTTTTTCCCACCTTCTGACAAAGGTTGTGCCTCCCCAAAGGGACAAAGACAGTAATAAAACACTAAAAAAAAAAAAAAACTGAAATGCTTTCCATAATAAGAAAAAGAATAGACTGGAGTTCTAGTTGAAGGTTTAGTATACTCTGGCCCTTGGTGTGAGCTTCTCGAGATAAACTTGTAAAAAATGGGCAATGCTGATTTACAAGCCCCCCAGAACTACATCTCCCAAGAGCCCTTTCCCTACACATTCTCCCCAGAACTACCTCTCCCAAGATCCCTTTCTCGAAACACACCCTCAGAACTATATCTCTAAGATCTCTTTCTCTACACACAAACCCCACCGGAACTACATTTCCCAACAGCCTTTTCCATATGCACACACTCCCCAGAACTAAATCTCCCAAAAACCCTTTCCCTACACACGCATCCCGCCAGAACTACATATACACAGAATATAACTAACATTTATAGGTAAAGTTGATCCAGGGAATGTCCGATTGCCAGGAAGGAATTTTTTTTCCCAGCAGGAGCAAATTGGATCGTGCTTTGCTGGGGGTATTTTTGCCTTCCTCTGAATCAACTGTGGGTATAGGATAACTTTTTTTTTTTTTAATGGTTGAACTGGATGGACTTTTGTCTTTTTTCAGCCAGACAACTATGTAATGTGTGCATGTGTAAAGGGACACAGAGGGGCGAGGATAGGTGAAGCTCAGCAGCCCAGCTGGCATGGCTGGCATTGCTGCTTTGGAGATCAGAACATTAAATCCAATGCGTTGTCAGTCCACAATAGGAGGTTAGGGGTACACTGGATTTCTGGCAGGTCAGTGGGCATGATCCTGTAATTGCTGCATTTTTAAATGATTAAAGCACTCCTGATGAAGTCACGTGACATAACGTGTAGGGTACGGCGATGACGTCAGGTCGCAAACCGGAAGTGCACGTGCTGCCATTTTGGAAAAGGGATTTCTGCACACTTCTTACAGCAAACACTGTACAGTGAGTTTTTAACCCTGTAGTGTCCCAAAAGGACACATTTTAATGTGAGTTTTACTAGATTGTTTTAAATAAAGTCTGTTTTGAGTGGCAATACTACACTATATTGAGCATTCTTTTGACATGGATGTGGAGCGATCTGGAGATGTTTAAAAGTGCTGGCTAACGGTGGTGAAGATCTATGTAGCAGTATACCCTCCCGGATTAAAGCGGAAAGCGCAGTTTGACCTGTCATCACGGGTCAAACTTGGAGGTGAGCGCAATAGAGTGTTGGAAGTGGATGAGCACTAAGGGGTGACACAGGAGCACCGTACACGTTCATACAGTAGTGTGTTACACTGGTCTATTTGAAGTACAGCGGATTTAAGGGGACGGTTCACCATTTTTTGAGACCATATTCGGATGACCCTTCTTAGTTGGTGTATTTGGATCACGATTGATAGGATATATACCACACAATTCCACGTGCTGATATTCAAGATTTAAAGGGACAGTTCACTAATAACCACTTCATGTCCGGACACTTTTACCCCCTTCCTGTTCAGGCCAATTTTCAGCATTCAAAAATTTTGAAAAAAGGTGTTTTGCTTATAAAAATTTGCAAATAAATAATCTTTCTTCATAAATCTTGGCGAACATTTATTCAGTTATTTTTTTAGTAAAAAAAAAATAACCCAAATTAGTTTATAACCAAAAAATTATAATTTTTCAAAAAAACATTTTTACATTTGTATTTTTTTTTTTTTATATTATTATTTTTTTTAACATACTGTCATTCTAGCAGTACAGTGTCACCATGGTGACACTGTACTACTTGTGGGTGGTGATGAAGATTGTTTTTTTTTTTTACACTGATTGCTTTTACACCCATAAAGGCTGTAAAAGCAATAATTTCTCCTTCTCTCTGGCTGCATTCTTGCAGCCATTGAGAAATACTGTGAGAGCTGATTGGTCTTAGCTTGTCACATGGTAAAAGGCTGTTGTGAATAGCCTTGTGCCATGTGACCTCTGTAATCATTCAAAGATTTCACAAGTAGTAAGCAATGATGTCAAAAGTGACATCTTGCTTACACCTATTCATGTGATCGCTGGTTGGCCAATCAGTGATAACATGATCGGGACCTCGCAGAGAGGTCCTGTACAGTGATTGGTGTTCCGCTGTGTCCGGAGGACACAGTGGGCACCGGATCGTGGTGCTACGCGCACAGTCCAAAATGGTGGGCGCCGTTTATGAACGGCAACCCGCCCCTGCACTGCCACTGTCCGGCCATTTATGTACAGCGGCCGGATGGGAAGTGGTTAAGGACGTTATTTGTTGTTCGTTTATAGCACCGGTTATGTGCAGTTTATGGGGTCCTATATGTGTGTATTGGTAAGACATCTGCTATGGCACACATTGATTATCACAAGCACAGTTTTTTGTTTTTTTCATTTGCACGTATTATATTGTTAGCACCATATTTGTATATAAATTGTTGCGCAGCTTTTTGTCATTTATTCATGATGACAGCACAGTGTAATGTAATGTAAACGGATTCATTTTCATCTCGCTCCAACACGTGCAGCACGCCTATCCTGTAAATCTCACTATTTAAAGTCTGGACTTGTAGAATAGGAAGCCAGGCCATTCACAACCAGCCTATCGAACCGGCTTGACAGAGCGGCCTGTTCCTGCTGGTCGGTGAAATAGAGAAGGGTATAGATAGGTTAAGCACTGCGGTGTGCCTGGCTGTGATTTCACGCCTGCGTCTAATTGAGTGCATTGCTCCAGGGTGTCCTTGTTTCATTTCGTCTCACTCCACGCTCATTACTCTATTAAAATCACCGTTTCGGATTTTCCAGAAGTGAGCGAACGAGATACGACTCACCGCAGCTCCGGACTGTCACAGACCGGTCCTATTTTGGGGCTGAGCTATAAAACAAGATAAATAACTGGACCATTTCACTGCCAAAAAGATAGTCAGTTAGCGATATTAACCACCTCCCGCCCGCCATATAGTACAATGACGGACGCAAGGTGGTTCTCTCGTTCTGGGAGGACGTCATATGATGTCCTCCCATTCTCAGCGTGGCGATCGGCGGTGCGCTGTGTCCCTCGGACACAGCGGATCACCGATCCACGGAAAGAGCCGAAGATGTCGGCTCGGTCATATGATCAGCTGTGTCCAATCACAGCTGATCACATGTAAACAGGGAAGTGCCGGTTATCGGCATTTCTCTCCTCTCGAGCTGTCAAGCTGACAGAGGAGAGGAGAGCCGGAAATCGGCTTTCCACGGAGGGGACATGTACACTGATCGACAGGGCTCTGATGATCAGTGTGCCTTGATGATCAGTGTAGCCGCAGCAGCGCCACCTGTCAGTGTCCATCAGTGCCACATATCAGTGCCCATCTGAGCTGCCTTTCAGTGTCACCCATCAATGCCAATCAGTGCCACCTATCAGTGCCAGTCAGTGCCGCCAAACAATGCCAGTCAGTGCCGCCAAACAATGCCAGTCAGTGCCGCCCAACCGTGCCAGTCAGTGCCGCCCAACCGTGCCAGTCAGTGCCGCCTAACCGTGCCAGTCAGTGCCGCCTAACCGTGCCAGTCAGTGCCGCCTAACCGTGCCAGTCAGTGCCATGTATCAGTGCACATCAGTGATGCCTGTCAATGCCCATCAGTGCCACCTACCAGTGCCTCCTCATGCATGCCCATCGGTGCCACCTATCAGAGTCCATCAGTGCAGCCTATCAGTGCCCATCACTGCACCCTCATTAGCACACAACAGTGAAGGAGAAAAATCACTTATTTACAAAATTTTACAACAAAAACAAGGAAAAATATATTTTTTTTAATTTTCAGTGGTTTTTGGTTTAAGAAAAAATAAAAATCCCAGAGGTGATTAAATACCACCAAAATAAAGCTCTATCTGTCACAAACAAATTATATAAATTTCATATGGGTACAGTGTTGCATGACCGCGCAATTGTCACTCAAAGTGCGACAGCGCTGAAAGCTGGAAATTGGCCTGGACAGGAAGGGGGTATAAGTGCCCTGTAGGCGAGGGGTTAAAGTGTTATTAAACCCGCAGAGCTTTTCATCTTAACGAATTGAGCACCATAAAATAAACACTCCTTGGTAAACGATTTGCTAAAATTCTTACCCCAGTGATTCCAGTTTAAAAAACTCTCAAGTCTGCTAGCTTCTGCACTCTTGGTGCTGCTTCCCTGAACAACCAGACTTCACTGGAAAGAATTTGATAGTGGACAGTGCGCTCATCAGTTGATTAGCTTGGAGAAGGGAGGGGGGAAAGGACCTTGCCAGCCTAGGCTACAGGGCTGTGTGTTTCTATTCATGCACACAGTGTGGAGAGACACAAATCTAGTCCCTGCATGCAAGAGCGATGGAAGCTGCAAGATAAAGGAACCACCCTGAAAGAGGAAAATAGATAGAGAGATAGAGAGACAGACAGAGAGATAGACAGAAAGACAGAGAGACAGACAGAGAGATAGACAGAGAGATAGACAGAGAGATAGACAGAGAGATAGACAGAGAGATAGACAGAGAGAGGGGGGGGGCAGACAGACAGACAGACAGACAGACAGATAGATAGATAGATAGATAGATCGATAGACAGACAGGCAGAGAGACAGAGAGAGAGAGAGAGAGAGGGGGGGGCAGAGAGAGAGATAGACAGACAGACAGAGAGATAGAGAGACAGACAAAGAGATAGATGGATGGATGGATAGATGGATAGATAGATGGATACAAACAGACAGACAGGCAGGCAGACAGGCAGGCAGGCAGGCAGGCAGGCAGACAGGCAGGCAGACAGGCAGGCAGGCAGACAGGCAGACAGGCAGGCAGGCAGACAGGCAGACAGGCAGACAGGCAGGCAGGCAGGCAGGCAGGCAGGCAGGCAGACAGACAGGCAGACATCTCTCTCTATCTGTGCTCCTATTAGGAATACATTTAAAGTTTATTTAAGACCAAGAACAACAGTGTAATATATTGCTCAGCAGCCCTTAGATGTGATGACTGCAGCCACTGCACTTCGGTCTATGGAGGGGCACCCTAGGCTGGTCTCCTGATTTGAACTACAAACACCTCCCACTCTCTTCAACACAGAGAGGAGGGGTTCTGTAGTTCACAAAAAATATCCGTTTTGTGCACAAGAAGTGATAAGCATGCTATATTTCTGGCAGGATCAACAAATATCTTCTATAATTGCAGAAAACGAATACAGCCATCACACTTAAAGACTGGTGAGCTGCAAATTATTACGTATTTAATCCTGGATCTTTAGGAAATCATACTTTGCAACCCCAACTGTTTGGCTTTCCTCTGCAAAAAACACTCTCAGTACAAGCCCACGGGCAGATCATTTCTCCATCTCCTTATACAGCTGACACTCATAGCGCGACCCATCCTGCTGCATTTTCCTCATCATGGTGAATGGGGGGAGATGAGAACACAGGGTCTCACTTGTGGGGTCCCAAATGATATAAAGGGGCTGCTGAATGATTAGAGCCACCAGTGGTGGTTATCTGACAACTTAAAGCATTAGTAAACC